GGCTAATTTCTTTCTATTTGTTTAGTAGAGACAGGATCTCGCTCTTGCTCAGGCTGGTCTCGAACTCCTGAGCTCAAGCAATCCGCCCGCCTCGGCCTCCCAGAGTGCTAGGATTATAGGCGTGAGCCATCGCGCCCAGCCTGAAACTTTATTCTTTTGATATAATTATTTCAATTTTTCTTTTTTAGTATAATCAGCTGGAATTCTGCCATGTAGGGAATAAACTGTTACCATTTGGATGTATTCGTTTCTGTTCTTGTGTGTGTTTGTGTACACGTGTACACACGCACACGTAGTGTGTTCTACCAGACCCTACCAGACCCCCACGTGTGGGGTCGCGCCTGTCTGCCTAACGCGACCTCGCCCGTCTCCCCACGGTGAGCGCTCCCCAGAGCCTGCCGCGCAGCACGGTGGCAGCTCCGCACCCAGAGGTGGCCGGCCCTGGAAGCGTTTCCCAGCACCGTCCACAGCCCTCCCCTGCCGCACACGGGCTGGCTGCCTGCGCCCCTCCATCTTTGCAATTATAAACAACACTGTGGATAGCAACATTGTATGTGAATATTTTTCTGCATGTATCATTTCTTTTATTTTTTGTTTATTGTCTTTTCTTCAGTCCCAATATGATCTGTAGGAATGTTTCTTTTGTTTAAATTCCTAACACAAAACAACTGGATCAAAGACTATGAACATACTTTCACCCTGGTTTGTTGTTTGCCTTAAACCGGGAGAAACAGGGGAAGGCCAGATTCGGAGCAGAGGCCTCCGGGGGGCTTGGGGGGGACATTCTCGCAGCCCACAGTGGGGAGCCCACCAGGCTCTGTTCCTGAGCAGCGCCCCCGGTGGCCCCGTTGACACGTGTCCCTCCTTGCAGGACTGGAAAGACCACCAGCAGGTGTGTGGGCAGGCGGCAGCCGTCACCGTCCAGGCGGACGACGTCCACGTCGCCGAAAGCGTGATGGAGAAAGTGACCGTCTGAGGGACTGCCCGGCGCGCTGCGAGCCGGGCCTCTGCACTGCTGCGCGGCCGGCGCAGGTCGAAGACCCCTCTAAGGACTTTGGGGGGACGCTGAGGAGACGAGGTCGTGGGAAGGCGAAGACACTTGCTGGCCAAGTTGTTGACGAACTTTAGGTGAACTGTGCCCCGGGAGTGGGCTCCTCCCCGGAAACCCAGGGAGGGCTCACGGCTCCCCGAGGCCGCCCCTGCCCCTCACGGTGCTTCCTACCCCGGGCTCACGAGTGTCCCGTCCTGCCCACGGGTGTGCCCTGCCCTGTGACGCGTGTACATACGTGTTGTGTCTGTCAATAAAGCTGTAAATAAAGTCTGCCTGCCCCTCAAGGACGGCCGATTCCAGCTTCAGCCCTGGGACTCGCTGCTCCGCGCGTCCTGACTGCGGCGGGCAGGGCGGCCACGGTCAGGAGCCCCGACGCCTGCCTGTGCCGCCAGCACGCGACAGGGGCCTTCTAAGCTGCAGGAGGAGCAGTTCTCATCCCTTCTGTCCTTTAATATGAGATCGTGCCACAAAGACTTGGCGGCCACTCCGCAACAAGGCCAGGCCCGGGCACCGAGCGACCTGGGCAGGGGCTTCCCCCCGCAGGGTCCCCGTCCGCCTCCCTGTTCCTTCCCGTTGCCGGATGCCAGGAGCTGGCTGGAGCCAGGGGAAGGACCGGCGCCTGTGGGGCTCAGCCAGCTCATTTGGGCGTCCGGCTGGGCTGGCCCTGGAAACAGGACCGGCCTTCCCTGCTGGCCAGGAGTGCCACCAAAGGAGCAGTCACCCGTGTTCTGAAAGCTTCCACATGTTTGCAGCAATGCCCTCACTGCCCATGTTCTCTGCACTCAGGAGGTTCATGGCTGCAGCTGCACTGAGGAGAGAAGGTGCAGATTCAGCTGGAGGTGACAGCGCCTGCCAGTGTTAGGGTAAACCTCCAAACCTGCAAACTGGTCCGACGTGTTTTCTGTGAGGCGTGAGGCATGTCTGCCCAGTCCCCTCCTGCCCAGTTCCCACCACCTGCAGCCCCGCAGGGCCAGGAACGGCCCCCTCCTGCCAGCGCCAGGGAAGGCCCTCTCTGGCGGGGCCTGGCCCTGCTCCCCAGAACCTGTGGTGGGAGCTGCTTTTCCTTGCTCGGGGGGCAAGTCCCTGCCCCGCCACGGCCGGGCCGCCCTGTGGCACTTCACAAGTGCCCGTTCCGTCTTCCTGCCCGTCCCGAGGGCTCAGTGCTATTGCTCTGTCGCAGAAAGTGGAGGCGGGAAGAGCCCTCGTACCTGGTGCAGATGCGCCCGAGACGCTGTCCCGCCGGCCCCTCCTTCGCTGGGGCCTTCCACTGAGACGCCACGTTGAGTGCAAGACGAGCACAGCGACCGCCGGAGTGGCGGCGGGAGCGGGCGGGCTGGGAGCGCTTCCTGGAATTGTGGGGCAGCCTGACCTCCCCCTTCCCGTGAAGCGGAAACCTGAGGACCACGCGTCTATGGAGGTCCAAAGTCTCCAAAGCTCCCTGTTTCTGAGCCTGGTGAGGATGACGAGCAGAGGGCCTGGTGGGCTCTGAGGGTCGTCCCTGAGACCCTGCGGCGTGTCGTGTCTCCGACAGCCTCTGTCCCGCTCACATGTGTCCTGGCCTCACCCCATGTCTGCGGAGCTTTTCCTGTGGTCAGTGGGGGCTGGGCACGTTTGAGGTGCCCTGTCCCTGGGCCAAACGTGGAGGGAGCCCCTCCCCCAACTCTCATGTGGGCCAGACTCTGCCCAGGGACAGCAGGAAGCCTGGAATCCATGGGGACTCAGAGGGTTCCCTGAGGCTAAGACTCCCTGAGGAGTGGCTGGGGACAGGCTGGTCCTGGGCGGCGGGGGTAGTCAGGGGAGGCTTCCTGAAGGAGGCAGTGGCTGAGGCCGCGAGCAGGAGTGCCTGAGCGCAAGGGGCACAGCAGCAGCACCTGGGGGTGCCGGGCGGTGGCTCCCTCTCCAGGGAATATTTTAACATGCTGATGTGCCTGATGCCGTAGACCTCACAGCCCATAATTTCTCTATAACCAGAAGGGAATTTGGCACCTTGCACAGTGGTCTTCCTCACGGGTGCGGCACCCCCAGTGCAGGACTGGGGAGCAGAGGGCTCCGCCCAGTTTCTCCCATGACCCTGGACTGGGAGAGCGCTTAGGTGCAGTCAGGGTGGGCCGTCCCTGGATGGAGGGGCCTGGGGACTGCCCGTTCCTCTCCCAGGTCGGGGCTGTGCTGTGGTCAGCTCCCTGCCGCTCCCTGCCTGCCCAGCGCAAAGGCCTGAGTGAGCAGCATCCTCCCGGGAGGCCCCTTGGTGGCCCCACCCGGCGCCCCAGGCCTTTCTCCATGGGGCTTCGTGCATCTTCTGGGGGCTGGCAGGATGCTGGGCTCTGATCTCAAGGCAGCTGCCAAAATGGTGGGGGCGTCAGCCCAGCTGGGTTTGCTGGGAGCCCACTCTGGTCCTCCAGAGGCAGGAGTTGGTCTGCTCAGGCCTGGCTGCCGGCCACCCACGCACGGGTGGTGGTCTTCCCACGGGGACCGGGGACCCAGTAAACTGCCCCCGCCCCCACCCCTAGGGTGAGCAAAGACTCCCCTCCCTGCAGCACAGCTGTCCACACTCTCCCCTTGTCCAGGGGGGAAACTGAGCCCAGGGCGGCTGTGGTTCTGCCTTTGGGCAGAGCTGGATGGGGCCTCCCCGTCCTCCATGCCCGGTCCTCCCACCTCAGCTCGAGCGGCTTCCCTGCAGGGCAGGAAGGGGCTCACTGCTGGGGTGGGGGCCCCGGCGGGGCCTGGGCCCCGGTCCAGAAGCCCCTCCCCTCCACCCCAGGAGCCTCCCCAGCGTTTAGGAAGGGATGTGTTTAACCAGACGCACAAAACCGCCCCTTGCCGGGAGGGGCTCAGCAGCAGACACGCAGGGCCTTGCGGAAGACGTTGCGGAACTCGGCGTTGAAGACGGTGTAGATGACGGGGTTGAGGGCGCTGTTGACGTAGCCCAGCCAGGTGACGGCGCTCACCAGCCGCGCGGGCACGGAGCAGGAGGGACACAGCGCCCGCGTAATGTGCACCACGAAGAACGGCGTCCAGCACAGCAGGAAGGCCCCTGCGCGGCCGGGAGGCGGGTCAGGGCCCCTCCCGGCCGTCCCGTTCCCGCCCCGCGCCCGCCGCAGGACGGGCACCCACCGACCACCACCGGCAGGACCCTCATGGCCTTGCGCTCCCGGCCGGTGATCTTGGCACGCCGCCTCCTGCGGGCCTGCGGCGGGGTCTGCGGCGGGAGCGCCTCCGCTGAGATGGCCTCGGGGGGCCGGCAGTCGGGGCCGCAGGGGCCCTGGGGCAGCCCGGGCGCGGGGGTCGGGGGGCCGGGGCCGCTGGGCCTGCGGGGCGCCCGGCCATGCAGCTTGGCGCGACGGGCCGCCTCCCAGCGCCGCAGGCCGCGGAAGGTGGCCCAGTACAGCAGCAGCATGAGCGGGCAGGGCAGGAAGAAGGAGCACACGGACGAGTAGACCACGTAGTCGCGGTCCTCCAGGCGGCACACGGCGGGGTCGCGGCCGCGCACGTCGTTAAGGCCGCACAGCACGGGCGCCGCCACCGCCGCCGACAGCAGCCACGTGGCGCCGATGAGCAGCAGCTGTCGCCGGCCCCCGCCCTGGCGGTTGTAGCTTAGCGGCAAGGCCACGGCCACGAACCTGCGCGGAGCGGGGAGGGAGGGCGCGCTGAGGGTGGCGCCGCAGGCAGGGGCGCGGGAGGGGCGGCCGGGGCGGCGCGGGCGCGCACCTGTCCACGCTGATGGCGCACAGGTTGAAGATGGAGGCGGTGCACAGCATCACGTCCATGGCCATGAGCGCGTCGCAGAGGCCGGGGCTCAGCAGCCACGCGCCGCCCTGCACCTGGGCAGCCACAGGGAGCGCAGCACAAGACACAAGACCGGCTGAGGTCTCCCCAGCCACCGCCGCTCTTTGGTACCCAGTTTTGGGGCAGCGGGGGTGAGGGTCAGAGGGGAAGGGAGCCCACTGGGGAGCCAGAGGCGCGTGGGGGACCCTGCCCCACCCACTTGCCCGGGCAGTCCTCGTCCTAGGACCCAGCGGGGAACCCAGAGGCTGGGGGAGGGGCAGAGAGACACCACCTGGGGCTCAGGTCTCCTTTTTGTTAGAACTTGAAAAAGGCCTGGGGAAGGGGGCGGGGTCTGTCGTCAAGGGGGTCACCGGAGCCCCAGCAGGGTGGGCAGGGACCTGCTGGGCCTGGAGCCTGCAGCAGAGGCAGCCTGTGCGGTTAAGCCCTGGCACAGTTGGAGACTTTGCACTGGTTACTCTGCTCCTCTGTAAGGTGAGCGTAATGACACTATCCACATCAAAATTGTCTTGACGATGAAAAATATAAAGACCTGACACCATGCCTAGCACAGGCTCACTGGTGGGGGTGGCCCTCTCCAAGGGCAAAGGGGCAGACAGCCCCCTCTAATCCCTTCCCGTGATTTGGGACGATTAGGAGCTTAAGAGTCGTCACTGTGACGTCCGTCAGGCGTGCCCTTGCGTGGGGGCCTCTGCCCCAGCCAGGCAGCACTCACCCTCACCTCAGAAACCGCGAGTCCCCTCCCCCACGGTCCGGGACACCCTGTCCGCAGACCTAAGCTGCTTTTCTCTGGCCAAACCTCAAACAGAGGGGTCGGCACCAAGGTGGACCCACCCGAGGGCCAGATCTGGTCTGTGGGGGTCCAGGGCTCTTGGGGCTCTGTCCCCCTTCTCCTGGGGGGGGGTCTGTCCTCCTGCCCAGGCTTCCCTCCCGCCACCCTGGCAGCTGAGCCGCTGTATGGTTGGGTTTCCTTTCCGTGGGGTGCTCAGTGTGCTGGTCAGAGCGGCCACCGTGTGCAGTGGTTGTGTGTGTGTCCCTGTGGCCCGGGGCTAAGCCTGCGTCTGTCCATCTGTCCAGGGGGCTCCTCTGCAGGGTAGGCAGGGGTCTGCTGGGCCTAGGGAGCGGGGGCAGGGCTTGACTAGCAAAGTCGCCTGTTCCTGGGGTCCCTGGATTGAAGGACAGAAGCGTCCCTGGGGTAGCAGATGCCAAGACAGACAGGGGGAGCTGGGGGCGGCGGCTACACAGCAAAGCGACTGAAGGTGCGAGGTGGCAGGGACAGTGGGGGGCGCAGGGGCCAGGCGCAGCGCCTCTGCAACCGGCCCCGCCGGAGGTTTTCGAGAAGCTGGGAGGCGGGTCGCGCCGGGTCCTCGGCAGGGACAGGGACAGGGAATGGGCGGGCAGGGGACACAGCTCTCACCTCAGAGTAGACGAAGAGCGGCAGCACCAGGAGGGCGAGGAGGAGGTCGGCGGCCGCCAGGCTCACGATAAAGTAGTTGGTGGGCGTCTGCAGGGCGCGCTCGGCGGCCACGCTCACGCACACCAGCGAGTTCCCCGCGAGCACCGCGCCGATGAGCAGCACGCCCCCCGCCAGCGCCGC